GCATTTGTAACACCTGAGTTTGATTTGGTACATATATCTCCACTCCGATATTACAATATCCAGCTTTAATAGATTTGGGAAGCACAGTCATACCAAATGTAAAATGGTAAGTGTGTGATTTTAGTACGTTTGAATCCTGTTTCCTCGTAAAACGTTTAACAGACGTCACGCCCTGGTCTCTCAATTCAGCAACAATCTCCTCTTCTGTCATGTCTGACAAACAACGGGACCTGTCTCTAATGATGCCTATGCAAGTGTTCAATGTCTTATGCACTGAGACAACAACCATATTCACAAACTGCGGTGATCCCAGCAGATTGACAGATTGCTGCCTCCGTCCACATTCTACCAAAACTGAACCGTTACGGAGGCGGGTGACATTCTTCACCTCTCCGCAGACACCTCGGATGCCCTTGGAGACAGCAAAAGATTAATATTTAATGGATTCCCATCATCAGATGATATAAGCAAAAACCTTGGCCAAGCATCATTCACGAAAGAAGACACCTCTTCATCAGACGAAGAAGAAAGATGTCTGCGCTTATGTGTCTTTGACGAACCAGATTGAGTGTTTTTAGCCATGGTAGAAGAATATAGTTCAGCATCCCTGCTCCCCACCCGCCATCGAGTGTCAACAAGGACGGTGCTGCCGTGGAAACCAGACTGCAACACCAGGGCTACAGGGATGTTATACTCCAGAAATAAGGACATAAATAGCTAAGAAATCTAAAAGATCAAATGTCAGGCTGGTTCGGCCCATGACATTAGTCTTAAGAAACTCAGAATTTAGAGGACTCTAGGCACTACAATATCATGAATAACTGTAATTTTAAATAGCCAAGACCAAATAATATTTTCAAAATTGTGCAATAACACTCACTATGCACAGGCCCTGGCATGACCAGCCGATTGGTAGAACCGGGCCCATTCTACCACCCGTCTACGTGAAGTAAGGTGCAAAGAGGTGTGTTGGATAACAGGAACACCTGGTCCTGGTTCCTGTGCCCTCAACCACCAGACTCCCGTCCTCCACTGACACAGGGGCGCAACCCACGGCAAACGGGTTGGTGGACCAAATATACCGGGTCCGCAACGGGGGTTTGAAGAGCACTTAGCGTTACCCAGCACCCATCACGAGGAGGAGGCTCTTCACGGGTGCCATGGGTGCCCAGTAGGCCTTATAATTATTAAAGTAAAACGGACGAGATGGTATAGCACTTCAGGCCAGCACTTCAGGCTCGTTGCAACGGTTTTCAACAGATTTTTTTAAGAACATATTCGAGGCAAATGTAATGCCAGTATTCCTGTATGATGTAAAAGTTTGGGAATTGGTAGAAAAGTTGAATGCAGTGTAAGTGTACTCGTGTGCACGGCTCTTTAATCTAAATCTGTGTGCCTCTAACAACACAGTGTTATGTGGGTGTGATAAGTACACAATCAGCCATATCGCGTGCTATAATAGTACTGGTTAAATGTTTTGACAATACCCACGAGCTGTATACCAAAGAAATGCTACATGATGTCCTTGTGTGACGAGCAAGGTCGGATAAATTGGACAGTGTTTGTGTAGATTAGGGCTCAGAGGAATGTGCCTATTTCAAAGGTTCAGTAATAAAAATGTACTTCATCTCTGTTCTCCGTTTGAGGGACAACTTCCAACAGATTTGATACGGCGATTTACACGCTGGCCACAAAATGTCTTAATATGCAAACTTTATAGTTTCTATAAACTGTAAAATTCAAAACTGTTCAAAAACATTTGAGGAAAGGTAATCTTAGTAACTGAAGTCCAGTTTCTGTTAACATGACCAGCTTATGTACAGTTAAGAAAATCAAAGCAATGTTTTATTTACATCCCGCCTTCCATGAGTATAATATTTGATGTCAACGCCAAACTCTAACATTATTACTAATCTAGCAAAATATATGAATGAATGCAAATTGATTTGTATCGCGCTAACATCAAACTACTGCAAAGAGTGCTGAACAGTGCTGCGAGGATGCTGACTGGTACCAAGAGAACTGACCATATCACCCCCACCCTGAAATCACTCCGCTGGCTACCTAAAGAGCACCGCAATACTTTCAAGACTCTTTCTATCAGTATTTACCGCTAAATGATGAAAACTCCCCAACATATAGAAAGGACATGTTACATCGCTACCAACCCACAAGAGCTTTCAGATCAGCCAATGATAAACTACTTCATGTTCCTAAAACGAAAACAAAGGTGGGTGAAGTGGCTCTATGCTTTGCAGCTCCAAAACTGTGGAATGCTCTTACCACTGGAATTTTGAAATTGTCCAACAAAACTCTCTTTTCTAACTCATCTGAAGACTTATCTTTATTCCGCTCAGTTCAACAAGCGCCGTTGAGCAGATGTTTAATCTGGAAACCAGGCGCTATACAAATCGATTATCAAGACTATACAGAGTGCACGTTCGCTAATAAGCGATACTATAAGAACAGTGTTCTAATATAGGGGAAATCAGAAAAAGGTATGCTTTTAAATTTGACTCATAATTATAGGAACCTCTCACCTTAGACTAACGCGTAGTCTCTGAAAATATGCATTTTTTTTATAGAAACTGATTACTCCGTATGAACCATGAAAATCGGGGTTAGAATTGATTTTCAGCAACCCATGCTTGTCGTAAGAGGCGACTAACGGGATCGGGTGGTCAGGATCGCTGTCTTGGCTGCTTAGTATGGCGTTAAACAACAGGCCAACCATAACTCCATATGAGCTGAAAATGAGCACCAATGAATTTAGGGATTCCGAACCAGAAGAAATCTAGACTTGCTTAATTACGATTTTTGCATTGCAGAAAGAGTTAGGCGGAAGGGAATAAATATGGTTCTGTCACAACGAGACAGACTGATGGCACGTGTAAGGACCCGGTGATGCAGAACGAGAGAGAGAGAGCGGAGACACGCGCATTTTTAAACACTAATCTTAGTATTTGTATTTTAAAAAATAAAACTTATCAAACTGAAACGGGAAAAAAGAAACATCAACATGAAGCAGCATAACTATGTATGCCCCCAAAACAGCTGCAATGCGACCAGTGTGACTAGCGACGTGGGGGTGCATTCTGCTCCGGTCCCCTACGGGATGCCTCGTTTAAGATGTCCTCACAACTTGAGCAAACTTAAGCGACAAAAAAACATGGCATATGTGGGGATATTCAACATTTGTATAGGAATGTGTTCAGACTGATGCATGTCAAGATTGTTCAACGATTTGAATATGAATTGCTATTAACCATTGAAAGGAACGTATGTGACCGTCATTGTTATTCGCAAATAGAATTTAATTTCAGAATAGATTAAAGGATATATAACGATTACCAATTGCACAGGGTAACTTTTTAGTGCAAAAATGCATTGTTCATGCACGGAACCATTCCGAATACAGCTAAAATCAGCCTACATACAACCAGTCGATATGTAGGGACAGCTATTATATATTGCACTTTTCAACTCCTGAAGAAATACCGAACACACAGGCATCCTCAGCGCTCCACTATATCAGTGGTATCACGCTGTATATTGTTATAAGGTAAAAATGCATCTCTAAATCAGTAAAAGAATTACATCAGATTCCGTACATAGATTTGTACTTTGGCTCATGAGTGATAACGGTTAGACACTGTTTGGAGAATGGCGTTTAGACGTAAGTTAGAAATATATCCGTCGTGAGAGACAGATCGCAATAACAGATCAATAAAAAGGGGAGAGTGACCAAACGGTACTTACCGATATATTTCCAATCATAATATTCATGAGTGCTAGGACGGATACAGGATTAACGAATCAAACCGACGAGTTGAAACATGTGATTAAGATCAGGTCAGAGTCGAACCATATAAAAAGACAGGTTTGGCACTGAGCAAGTGGTGACTCGCTTTTATGTGACGGAAGCCAGTCTACGCCATTCAGTTGCCCCGTGCGGTACGAGCCTACCCTATATGTTGGTGAAGTTGTATTTAGAGATGGACAGAGACAGTGTAAAAACTATGTGAGTATAACTTGGTGTTGTGTTTATCTATGCATGCATGTGTGCCAGTACATGAATGTAATGTGGTTAGTTAGGAGTCACGGTCTCCCGACCCCTCACTCCTTGACTTTGCATCCTGTAACGGACCTAGCGAGTGGGGCGCCAGAGCGACAATCTTCTCCCAACAATTGGAACGGCCACAAATAGTAGGTAACTGTAGTATGGTTTACTAACGCCCTAACGTCAGTTGGGACAATATTTCTGATGAATTGATCCACGTCACCATAACACCAGATACCGGCGTGTAAACGTATGGCATACCAAGAGAACTTTGCACAGCATAAAACTGGTAACCCAATTCAGACACGACACTTATTAGATATTAAAAAGGTTATTTATGATGTGCAACGGAGCGTCAAATTCTAGTGACGGTGTTGTGGATACTGTTTGCGTACTCTTCAGTGTCATGGAACCTTTTGAGGTTGTACTGACAGCTGGTAATGTTACATAAACATTGCCTTGCTGTCTCATATACGTATTCAAGGTGCTACCTTCACAGAGCCTCAACAGGAGAGACATTGCAGGGTGAAACACAAGAGGCAAGTAGACATTCATTAGACGTCCATGTATGTTACCGCCATTTGGTCTCATCTGTTTTCATGTCACAATGTTGATATACCAACATCAAGTTAACGGAAGCGAGACTTGATATCCTCCGCTTCAACACATGTATGAACGCATACAATACACATCTTTGAATATAGAGTGATGTATTTGTCACATGCAGTAGTCATGAAATAGTTTCTAGTCGGCTAACATTCCACATTCAAGTGGACTAGCGTGTCCACATTCAAGTTGACTAGCGGAGTGAGCATTCATTCACAACACATTGTCACAATGCGACGCTCCGGTACATTTCCATTTCGTCACGCTTACGTCCTGCTGGGTATTTCAATATGGTTATTGTATTTGAGGAACCCATGTATGTATGCTTGTTGAGAGTTCACATACTATTTAGTGAAGTAAACAATATGCATCGTTCAAACGGATGAATAAATCATGGGAAGAAAACTTGCAGTGAGCTCATGCGTCCAATAACTTTGATGATATAATGTACCATGTGGCTTAGTAACTATTTTAATATTTTATAACGCAACATGACATCAGTTTTGCAAGCTTGTTCAAAACAGATAATATTAAACTGCTCAACTGTTCAGTTAATATTGATCCCTTGTCTAGCCTCAACGCAAAGTACAGTGAAACCAATGGAGCAAATATAGTCTGTACACAAAATCCGAATTCTTATTGAAATTATGAGTAACATGATTACTTGACCGTGCATAGTCTCAATCATAACCCGCCACATCAAGGACAATACTATATATGTACAACGCCGTTGATGTGTGACGTCATACCCGTAACCGGCGTATATAAACATTGTCGTGTTCACTCACCTGAGTACACAGAAGGGCGTTGGTTGGTTCATGGATCGTATATGCATAAATGTAAGTATTCAAATACTGTAAACCTGTGTATTACTATTTGCTCTTGTGGTTTTCATTGCGAGTAGAGATAGTCATAAAACGCCTGTGTAAATTTGTCGTTGTGGAGTTTGCGCCAGTCGGACGACAATTTATGTTGGAATTACCAAATCACTGTAATACATGTATGATGATTTCCCAGAGTCTTGCTACGATACTCTTCATATACGAAAACATACGAGCCAGTTAACTGCAACGTGTTGACGAATATGAAAATGAAGTTATAAATACACAATGCCATTTAAAAATTTGTAAAATGTACCACATGTCATATTTGGGGTTACACTTTCTCAGTAAAGTACAGATTCTAGTACTTTTGTTGGGTTATGTCCCATCCAGGATGGGGGCGCGGTGGGCGAGCTGGCTAAGGCGCCAGGCTAGTGATCCAGCGAGGTTGAGGTGTCGGGATCGAGTCCACCTGTGACCGGGTGTGAAAACCTTGGAGTCAACTTTGTGTGCAGACTCTTTCAGTGTTGTCACAACCCCTAGTGTACAGTACACAACCCTGTGCACTTAAAAGAACCCACGAATCCGTTGGTATATGACCAGATGGTGGCCACATGAATACGTGCAAACGCCTAGTTGCGGGTATAGCAACGTGCAGTAAACATGGACAAAGTACTGTGACTATGTGTCCCAGTCCACCCAGCTGTGAAGGGTACCTCGTTAGGATGAGAAAGTTACAATAACTCGGTGCGCCTAGTGGCTGCAAGAGTTGTAAAGTCCTCAGGGGAGTTGAGATTGATAATGCGATGTGCCGTTGAGATTGACATCCAATGATCGAGGGAAAAAATACCAGCGCCTTGAGCATGCACTAGTGCGTGGATATGTGCGCTATATAAATATCCTATAATAAAAAAAATAATAATAATAAGGATTGGAAGTCACACTCTCAGAGTGGACTGATTCTGTACTAGATATTTAGGTTTCAACCTTTACACTAAAGAATCCCACAAATGATTGGTTTGTGAATGGAGTAACACATAATATAAGATGAAACTAATTTTGCTACTATGGCAGTTGAGAACAGGACATTTTCCACATAATTCAAGTGAAATGCATTTGTATGTGATGGTGTTGTACAAAGATTCATGCATGAGATATACAATCTCACAAGGAGGAGCTTACGTATTTGATCAATTGGGCAACATTTTTACCTTCAGGACACTTTACGGAATATTAAGTCAAAACAAGGTAGCACGGGCAATAAATCGAGTTGTAGCTTCATTTGTGGCAATAACCTGATAATAATCAGATGTCCAATAGTCAACAAATAGTGAACACCCTTCTGCTGAGGTCCAGTTCGACCTCTTCCTGTGTTCCATATGTTATAGTATGTGCATGATCCGTCATGAAGACAAACTACTTCACATCGGACTCTATGACAAGATAAAAGACTTTAAGGTGTGACACTTAGACAAGCATTTGTCATTCCCATGGGTACCACATAGGTTCCAGTCATTGCGAATCTGTTTCTCTATGCATATGAATAGGAATGTTGAAATATAGGCTATTCGACGTCGTTCAATAGCCATCAAATAGACAATTCCCTTTCACCGATTTACCTGAACTGTACATAAGACAGCCACATATCTTTAGTATTTAGGTCTATGCATAAATGTTCTCCACCGGATAAAATCAACTTTCTAATCCAACTCAAATTACAAGCGAGTAAGCCGTGTCAACATCAGCTTCGAAGATTGCCTTGCGATTATTGTCAGAAGTTGTTAGAAAATGTGACAACATTCAAGGCCTCACTAAACACTTTCTACAGCCGCTTTCATAGTCACGATTTTACCAATGAGAGAGCTCAAGTTAGTGAAGCCGTACAGGATAGTGAAAGTCGTATCCATATATCAGAAGCTAACGTCATTCAAAGCTTCTCCAGAATTAACATCAGAAAAGCAAAAGGACCTGACAACCTTGGCGGCATTGTGTTGAAGCAGTGCAGACTTCAACTGTGTACAGTTTTCACTAGATTGTTTCAATTCTCAGTGAATACACACGTTATTCCTTCGGTCTGGAAAACATCAGAAATTGTACCAGTTCCTAAAAGGACACAACCTAAAGAACTCAACGACTACAGGCCAGTTGCTCTCACAGGCCCTAGTGTCTTTGCGAGGATTAAAGATTAAAAAAAATAATGTTTTTGAGATGACCCCCGATGTATACTGTGAAGCTATCTTTAATCCCCGCAAAGACACGAGGGCCTATGGTTGCTCTCACATCTATAGCAATGAAGTCGCTGGAACGCATCTTGCCGGGACATCTCCGACAGGAAGTTGCCGACATACTGGACCCGCTTCAGTTTGCCTACAGGTCAAGGAGAGGACTGTCACTCCTTAATAATGTCTATAAACATCTAGAGACACCTAGGTCATGCATCAGGATTCTCTTCGTTGACTTTTCATCTGCGTTTAACACCACCAAGCCACATATCATTATACAGAAACTGTTAGACATAGGCGTTAACTAATACCTCATCAAGTGGATCGAAAACTTTCTTGTGGACAGACAGCAGTACGTGAAAGTTAACGGGACTGTATCGAGTAAACGGACCACCAACACTGGTGCACCACATGGCTGTGTAATATCTCCTGTTCTTTTCACCCTCTACACTAATGATTGTGCACGCTCGAATTCAACCTGTTCAACTGTAAAGTTCGCAGATGATGCAGCAATTGACGGCAAACTGAACGACACTGATTCTGAAGAACTGTATAAAGAGGACATTAATCATTTCACCACTTGGTGTGCAGAAAACCACTTACACTTAAATGTCACAAAAACAAAGGAACTGATAATTGACTTTCGGAGTAAGCCCACAGAAATGCTTCCAGTGATAATCAACGGTGAATGTGTTGAGACAGTGTCGGAGTATAAGTATCTGGAAACCTTCATTGACTCTAAGCTGAACTGGAACTCTAACACTGAAGCCCTATACAAAAAAAGTGTGAACAACGTCTTCATCTCATGCGTAAACTGAGATATTTTAATGTTTACCCATCTGTGATGTCATCTTTTTATGCAGCATTTATTCAGGGTATTTTAACATTTTCCTTCCATTGTTGGTACGGGTCACTCTCAGTTATCTCAAATTTAAAATAGAAAAAATTATTAACACTCCAAGTAAAATCGCTGGAGTCAGATTGGAATGTTTATCATCAATATATGAGCGGCAACTCGTGAATCAAGCTGTCAAAATTATATCTGACCGTACTCACTACTTAAATTGGGAATACAACCTCCTCCCTTCAGGCCGCCGCTACAAAGTTGCAATTGTGAAAACTAAGAGAGCCCGTACATCCTTTATTCCAAGTACCATATATCTCTTAAACAAATGTGAAGATACCTAAATCAATGAATTTATGTAAATATGTTTTGCATCTCTCTGATGTGTCAGTAGCTCTGCTGATGTAACACAAATTCCTGAAAAAGGCATTAAAGTATTATTCTATTCTATTCTAAAGATTGAAACTTTTTACGGTAGAAGCGTCAAGGCCCTTTCCAAATCTGATTCATAAGTGACAAAAAAGTATGTCCAAAGCAGTTGCCAGATTTCACTTGTTCTTAATGCATTAATTTTGTCGACACCCCCTTTGTGTGTGTTTGTAACACTTGGTCAAGATAGCTAATCTTTTCGCGAACACTTGGTATTATTGTTATTTGATGACAGCACAATCGACCTTCAGCAGAGGTTAAGGCTTTATCCCTTTTATTGAACTTTCAAATTGCCAAGCAATATTCCTGCAGCATCAACATTGATTTAAAAATATTTATGTCCAGATGTGGAACCGTTTTGGTAAACAAGCAGTATGTTGCTTATCTGAATAACGTGTTTGCATTTCACAATTTGAGGTAAAATCGAGCATGCTCTTTCTGCGAAAATTTTAACGAGCGCCATACGACTCTTGCCAAAATATTCTCAGATAATGTAATGACTTTTGAGGAATCAAAAAAGTTTCATCGCGGAAATAAAGAGACAATATCAAATTCTGACGCATAATATGCTCATGATAGAGTTGGAATCTTACACTGGGCCCTTCCCCCAGCAAAGATTTTTTTATGAATATGAAAACACAGGGTTTTGTCGCTATTATTCACATAAATAGAGAATATTGATATCGAGGTTCATTACGAATTATACGAACGAGTGTCCTTCCTATGGTATCTGACCGAGCGAAAGCGAGGTCAGATAACATAGGAAGGTCACGAGTTTCGTATAATCTGTATGTAATGAGACCGAGTGTGGTATTTTATTTATTACCCACGTCTTACATGCATTAAATTGACAAAATAACGTAGTTTTGTTAATATTTTGGTTTCAAACCGAAACCGGTTTCATAAAGAGGTTGCGGAAGAGTTTTGTACTGTAGTACAATATTTGCATGACGTCACTGTAATGACGTCACTGCCCTGGTAACCGACGTCACGATGCATGTCAGTTGTCTTCGCCTCGTACAGCCTCCTACAGTAAACTACTCCGTAGCACCCCGTTTCTTGGTTTGCAGTTGCTTCATTCGGCTAACATCACTGGTGGAAACATTGCATTTACGTTTTTTCGACGGGTATAATGTCTCAGTTCGACTCACAATAAAACAGAGACACGGCAACGTTCGCGATGTTTACATTCCCACAATGCATTTAGTTGTAGAATGAATGGATCCACGTGTTTGTTATGAATGAAAAAGTAGTTCCGTCACAACATGACCTAACTGAGAGGTCATCGGTTATCCAATCAAATCGTTAGAATCTCAGGTCAAGTCGTTACGACACAGGTCAACGCGATACGACACACGTGTGACGTACGAGATTAGAATGCAACTCCCATATGTTGACCACGTGGGTAATAAATTCAATAACTAACCAGTAAGAGTATGACTAAAGAATAAGCTAAAAATGTCGCCTCTAGGCCATTTTCATAAAGAAATCAAAGCAACTCTGCAAACAGTAATATCCATTAACAAGAGCCCTAGTTTGGTTCCGCCACTGGTACAAGGGCTGAAGGCTGCCTGCATCCGTCTGCATCATTTCTGAGGCGGCGCACTGTGGTTTGACTTTGGCACCACAGATAACCATTTTCATATGTGGCTGTCCTTTATGTCCAGTGAGTTTATGTGATTTGTGATGAAGCATGTGATTTGCACTACGTGATTGTGTGGATGTGGCGGTTAAAGAACGAATCTGGTGATCGTGGTGTAACGTGCATTGTCAGTGCTACTCAGTCTCAGTTAAATACCGAGTGTCTGGTTTGTACACAGATTAACTTCATTGGCCATTCATAAACACACATGGTGAATGATAGTCCACACGGTATAAGGTTCAATATTGACAAACGTTATGGATAACACCTTCTTTGATATCGCAAGTGCGACGTTTGGATACATATTCTATTGTTGTTGCCAAGCAATAGTTCCACTGATTAAAATGAATGACTTACGTTGAACAGAGTCGCTTTAGAAAGCATCAGGCGTCTTTTGGGGCGTTGCTTCGTGGCTATGGAATGATTTATTCTCACATTCACCGTGATTGTAGTCTTCCTTCTCAGTCACTAAGCGCGGATTTATGTAAGAATTTGTCACGGTCAAAAGTCTTCAATGAAGCACAAGTTCGTATCTTGAATCCTGAGAACACAGTCAGATGCACGCAGAAACGCCTGATAGCTTTGCAAGTCGGACTCCAGAAGATCTCGGATAGCCTTCGTGGGGCAGGCGGTGCATTTGGGTAGTCCGATGGTTATAGTCACGCCAAACTCCTGAGTTCGCCCACTTCAGGTTCCCACGTCGTGATATTGGTCAAATGTTGCCATAAATGGGATGAAACCATACTCACTCATCCTGACATATTGTTTGTCTACCCTTTATTGTTTTCTTACGAATCCGCTCAAAGAATGTATTCTATCCAGTGCAGTGTATCACTACTACAAGGATGATAATTCTTAAGTACTCCGGTCCATACCATCATTTGAAAACTGGAAACAACAGTAATTGACGCTCCAATCTGTTGCAACTATTATTCATTACAATTGACTCGCTGCATCCATTAGTCTGATGCCTATGCATATTTTTAGCATATTTGCAGATGATATCTGCAATGAGCTGTTGTCCAGGTATGCTTTATGCTTGCAGATGGGGTTTACAAGAGACGTAGACCATGGTTATGCTTGGGTGGCCCTGGCAGCGTCGTTCAGCATCCATTTTACAATTGGACTAATGGGATATAGCTTTGGAGTGATAAATATCGCTATAATGGAAGAAATAGAAGATGACATAACAAAAACGTCTTGGATTGGTTCTACGTTATTTGGGACTACTTCTCTAAGTGGTAAGACCGATTCTGTCCAACGGAATTCACACATTCTACATTGATCATTTTGATATCACAGTTATTGTCTCACAAGATATTGATGTATCAAAGTTCTAAGATCAACAGTTTTTAAAGTTGCCAACATCATATTCTGAAGAGTATTCGTTGGTTTTTGTGATAATATTGTTTCCGGTTTTTTTACTATGCCATGACATTCCTTGTGTCTGTTTCATGGAGAGCAGTTGCATATGTTTCTGACGGGTGCACGTGTCATTAATATTAATATGCAGGAGTGAGTGAGGGAGTAATGTTTTACGCCACAGTCAGCAATATTCCAGCTATATGGCGGCGGTTTGTAAATAATCGAGTCTGGACCAGACAATCCACTGATCAACAGTATGAGCATCGATCTACGCAATTGGAAACCGATGACATGTGTCAACAAAGCCAGCGAGCCTGACCACCCGATCCTGTTAGTCGCCTCATACGACAAGCTTGGGTTACTGAAGACTCATTCTAACCCGGACCTTTACGGGTCTTAATATGCAGGATGTGCTCACCCTTTTCACTTTGCATCACTATCTGATAGTAATGTATGAACACAACCCCAACATAATTTAGGAATCGTAAAACCGATTCAACTGCCCCTAGAGTTTTCCTTTGTGAATCTTATTTCTTATGTATTTCAAGAATATTTCTGGTTTTACTGAAATTAAACAAAGTGCTAGTTCATTCTTCGTTTAAATATTTGACAAATACATCGATTAAATGAATATATTCTAAGAAGTTGATGAAGTTCTTCAGATACATTTCAATCTTCAAATAATGGTTCCTGAGTAGTTGGCCCTGATGTCTGATGTACAAGAGTTGTCCGTATGTTGTGCGAATACTGTTATCTTATCTGTTATCCCTGTCTCTGTTTCTCCATGGTGGAGTCTAGGACTGACAGCACCATACCCCTGTCCGTAGGTTTCTCAGAAGTGATAAGCGTCTACGACCTGCAATTGGCGTTTGTTCTCCAATACGAAGCTCCTGGAGGGACATTTTCTCGTAACCAACAATAAAAATAATAATCTCGTAATAACGACTTACAATCTCGTAATAACGACTTCAAATCTCGTTATAACGACTTATAATCTCGTAATAACCACTTATAATCTCGTAATAACGATTTTTTAGATCTCGTTATAACGACTTTTAAATCTCGTTATAACGACTAGAAAACCCTCGTTATAACGATTTTTAAAACTCGTTATAACGATTTTTAAACTCTCGTTATAACGACTTTTGGTGGCCTTCATCTACTTCTGAATTGGGTCTTCTGCATGGACTGCTTGAACATAGAGTTCATGGTTTGGAACGACTTGATGAGCATCTGGTCTTATCCTGCGTAGCATCCCCTGCTTGCCTTCCTGATACCTCCATGGAAGTCGCATCCCAAGGTTTGCACAGCAGAGGCTTGGTGTATAAATATATCCAACCATTGGCAGGAAGAGAGAGAGACCCTGACGTCGCATAAGTGTGACTGTGAGACCATGATTCTCTCTCACCTGATGGGAACTGTGAGACCATGATTCTCTCACCTGATGGGAACTGTGAGACCATGATTCTCTCACCTGATGGGGACCTGTGAGACCATGATTCTCTCACCTGATAGAAACTGTGAGACCATGATTCTCTAACCTGATGGGAACTGTGAGACCATGATTATCTCACCTGATAGAAACTGTGAGACCATGATTCTCTCACCTGATGGGACCTGTGAGACTATGATTCTCTCACCTGATTGGAACTGTGAGACCATGATTATATCACCTGATTGGACCTGTGAGACCATGATTCTCTCACCTGATGGGAACTGTGAGACCATGATTCGCTCACCTGATGGGAATTGTGAGACCATGATTCTCTCACCTGATGGGAATCTGTGAGACCATGATTCGCTCACCTGATGGGAACTGTGGGACTATGATTCTCTCACCTGGTGGGAACTGTGAGACCATGATTCTCTCACCTGATGGGAACTGTGAGACCATGATTCTCTCAGCTGATGGGAACTGTGAGACCATGATTCTCTCAGCTGATGGGAACTGTGAGACCATGATTCTCTCCAGCTGATGGGAACTGTGAGACCATGATTCTCTCACCTGATGGGAACTGTGAGACCATGATTCTCTCTCACCTGATAGAAACTGTGAGACCATGATTCTCTCACCTGATGGGAACTGTGAGACCATGATTATCTCACCTGATAGAAACTGTGAGACCATGATTCTCTCACCTGATTGGAACTGTGAGACCATAATTCTCTCACCTGATGGGACCTGTGAGACTATGATTCTCTCCTGGTGGGAACTGTGAGACTATGATTCTCCCACCTGATGGGACCTGGTGAGAATATGATTCTCTCACCTGATGGGACCTGTGAGACTATGATTCTCTCACCTGATGGGACCTGTGAGACTATGATTCTCTCACCTGATGGGACCTGTGAGACTATTCTAAGTCAAACATTTATGACAGACCTACTGAAACCCATAAGGACAAGTATATCAAGAGTGAAGTTAACATAAACATCAGATAAAAATACGTGTCTTTTAGACAACTATTATTGTAAATTATTATCCATCTTTTCTTTAATACCCAAATATATGGACACATATAACCTAGAATAGGTTAATACAGTCTAGAGGCGGTGGGGATAGCCTAGTGGTTCGCTCGTCACGCCGGAAGGCCAGGGTTCGATTCTTCACATGGGTACAGCTTGTAGCCCATTTCTGGTGTCTCCTCCTTGATATTGCTGGAATATTGCTAAACACGACGTAACATCATGCTCAGTCAGTCAGTCAGTAATACATTCTTAATCACTCTGAACAGGAATATACGTCTTCAAAAGAGATTTGGCAGGCAGACCCAAGTTGGCCAAACAACAAATTTAAGGTTCAAAAACATTCTGACAGCTGTCCTCAGTCTTATCTACATTAGGAAGTATTCCATGTCTCATGTCGGAAACATGTTTCAAAAGCAAACCCTCCCATAAATCTGATTTATTCAACAAATTCTCGTTACATGCAGCTTGGTGAATTATTAAGTTCTGGTTGATTCTAAAACAAGTGTAGTGTATATATGGAGGATGTGGATTATTATTAATATCGATCCTCAGCAGCAACTTCTTGTAGATCTGATCCAGTTCTAATACATCAGTATGGGACAAGGAAATGTTTCTGTTGTGTGGATGGATGTGAATGAGCTGAGGAGTGAGTGAGTGACTGAGCAGGGTAGAGCGGAGCCGTGTGAGTATACGATAATGAATGAGTGAGTGTACGATAGTGAATGAGTGGCTGAGCTGAGGGAAATAGATTGAGTGTGTGAGTGGAGTGAGGGATAGATAGTGAGGAGTGATAGTGAATGAGTGAGTGAGTATGGTTTTACGCTGCTTAGCAATATCCCAGCAATATCACGCGGGAGACACCAGAAATGGCCTATATATAGTCCCCATTTGGGTAATCGAACCCGTGATGAGAGGATGCTTTAACCATTAGGCTACCCCACTGCCCACAGTGAGTGAGTGAGTGGATGACAGCGAGTGTGTGAAAGTGTGGGTGGGCGAGTGAGTGAGTGACCCTAGCTGCCATAGCAGCCATATGACTTTAAGCGACAACATTTAAGCTGAAGTACCAGGTAAAAACATGCGCAGTGACTGCTTGGCTATAACTTGGCCATTGTGATAATGAAATAATATGGCCTCTTATACAGAGCACTAACCTTCACACCTAAATATACTAAGGATTTATAAAGTCAGTACACATAACTATACCGGTATATATTAATCATGATGAGATACACAAAGAAGAAAAGCAAATACATGAAACGGAAATTAGTTCAGAAAGTGAAGAAAGGTGGCATTGGTGTTTAGTTTCAAAATATGTACCATGTTCACATTATGTCAGGGAAGCATATTTCAGCCAGGCTACAGATCAAACAAGGGAAGCAAGGATGTTATGCAGGACTGTAAAGAACAGATGCTCATCAAGTTGGTCCCAACCATGAACTCTATGTTCAAGCAGTCCATGCAGAAGACCCAATTCAGAAGTAGATGAACGCCAATCAAAAGTCGTTATAACGAGATTTAAAAGTCGTTATTACGAGTGTTTGGAAAGTTGTTATAACGAGATCTAAAGGTCGTTATTACGAGATTATTTTTCTATTTCTAATTACGCAAATGTCCCTTCAGGAGCTTCGCACTCCAAAGCCGAAGAGCAGTGGTAATGACTCCAGTTTCTCTCAAAAGCGAGTTAAACGAATCTGACATTCACACAAATCTCGAAATCGAGAGCACTAATCTCTGATTTACTGATTTCAACAGGCCCTGTTGCTGGTATGGTTCATCAGAAACCAGGCTCCAGAAAACAGCTATGATATGCGGGGTGTTGATGCTGATTGGGATGACATCGCATACTTCTGTCAAACAGTGTTGGGGTTATTAATCACATACGGACTGGTGACAGGTAGGAATATCTCCATTTCACCGCTTCCATCCTTAATAAGAGTCACATCTTGGTAACGCAACCGCTTCCAGCCTCATATTAGT